CGGTGCGTGCCTGTGGGGCAGCGTGGGGGAGGTCCTGATGAACTTCCAAGGTCATGGCCTGGTCATGATTCTATATAAAGAAAGGCCAGCAAAGAGGGCGGGAAGAGAAGAAATGCCGTGAAGATGCCAAGACCCGGGAGGATGCAAGACCATGGTTAAATATGGTTTTCAGGGTAGATGATAGGAGATGAGAACCTAGAATATTCTATAGACAAACACCCCCCCCCACACACACACACACCACCATGCTAAGATTCTAGAATCCTGTGATTCTGAGACTCTAACCTGATCGGGGAAGGCAAACATCACAGCCAGAACTTCCTCTTAATACCCTCCCTGCCTCTGGAGAGAACCCCACACCCATAACTCCAGAGCCAAGCAGCCTTGTTTACCCCATTTTTGCCTTTAAATTGTCTTCAGGCTCCTCGGTGCGGCGTCTGCTCATCTGCACACACCCCTCCGCAGTCCCTCCTCCCAGCCTGGCAGCCAAACATTTGCCATCTGCATGTAACCCAGTGATTAGCACCGCAGAGCGGGAGAGGGAGGCCGGAACCCTGGCTGCTGCCAGTCAGTCGGCCTGAAGTCAACCAGGCTGCGGGGAGTCACCCGGCTCCCAAAAAGGGCCGAGCAGGGGGGGAGAGACCCCACACACACACCCAGCAAGCACACAAAGAAAGACCCCCAGCGCACAGACACACAAAGACACGGAAAGACACACAGCCACAGACAGACACCCCAGACAGCACACGCCCACACGTGTGCAGAGCTCACAGAGGCAGACCCACGCCGTGTACACGGGCCTGGACAAACACACAGGCATGCACCGCACACTTAATACACATCCACACACACGGGGACAGTCACAGGGCAGGACACACAGGGGCCTGCACCCAGTGATGAGCAGAACGCACAGTGGCTTGCACGGACAGGCACATGCAGACACACCCCGCCCAGATATACACCTGGGGTCACAAGGGCCCACACTCTCCCAGGGGGTCCGTGGCACTGAGCTGTTGGCCTGCTCTCTGTGCCCACCTCCCACTCCCACTCCCCCATGGGACATTATGTAGGGACCACTGTGCTCGCAGCTGGGTGCTGGGCCCTTGGGGGATCCTGGGCCTGTGACCCAGTGGGTGGAGATGGAGAGAGCCAGGCCCTGGGGTCTCCGAGGCTGCCAGCGCACATGCAGACACTGTCCGGAGACCAGAGCTGTATGAAACAGACTTTCCAGAAAGGTAGTGAGCTCCCCAGCACCGGGGGCCACCCAAGACCACCCAGGGTGTTGTAAATACTTGGGTCAGTGGGCGCTGGGAGCATGGAAGCCCTGTAACATCCCTTCCGACCCCGAGATTCTCCATTTCTATCAATTCCACTGGGTTTCCAAATAGTGATTTTTTTTTTTCCAAAAATTTTTGTGTCACCTTCTCTATTAGTGGAAACACGTTCAACATGTTCCCCCAAAGTTAAACATAGGTGTTTATTTATAAATGCACTTATATACGTTTTTGCTAAAACATAATGTATTTGATAAAAGATACGCAAAAATAGAAAAACTTGAAGTAATGAGACACACACACACATAGATCATTACCTTAAGGGACAAGTGGAAGAGCGGGAAAGCCATATCCCATTTATTGAGTGCGTCCGTATGGCAGACTTCTGATATATATTATTCCTTTGAATCTTCAAAATAGCCCTGTAAAGAGGCTATCATGATTTTTCCATTTTCCTGATGAGAAACTGAATGACAATCGAGCCACCTGTAGCTGGCAGGGGTGGAATTGGAACCTGCTCGGGCTGCTGGCTCCACAGCCCACTGGGCCACCGTGATGCTCCCCCACCACGCGGGGACAGGACGGGGTTTGCATGAAGTCAGGGAAGGACCCATTTGGTTTTGGAGGTGATAGCTGCAAAGCCGGGGTCCTGCAGCTGAGGGGAGGGACCGCATCATGTGTCAAGAGCGTTGAACGCCGGGTGCAGTGGCACGCTCCATAAACCCAGAGACTCGCAAGGCTGCGACAGGAGGATCCCAAGTTCAAGGCCAGCCTCAGCCTCTTAGCAAGGCCCTAAGCAACTTAGTGAGACTCTGTCTCTAAACAAAATAGACAACAGGGCTCAGTGTGTGGCTCAGTGGTTGAGTGCCCCTGGGTTCAATCCCTAGGACCCCCCCAAAAGGAGATTTGATGGACAGCCTTGAAGCTGAGCGACAGATGTGATCTCAGACCATTGGACTAGATGTGGCCGGTTCTGTCCTTCAAATCATGGCTGTTCCAGGTGCTGTCCAGGCGGGGACCAGTGGCTTCGAGGTTCGTTAGGGATACAGAGCTCTGCCCCACTCACGACCCACTAAAGCAGAATCTGCACCTAACAAGACAGTCTGAGGAGCCCCAGGGACTTCCCGCTGGTGTGGCCCCTACCCCGACCCGTGGGTGAGA